TGCTTTTGCAGTATACGAAGTAAATATTGGAAGAGTTTGCCTTGATTTGCAGAAAAGTGCTTATTGGGCTTCCCAAACACCCCCTACATGATTAATGGCATTATAATAGTTGTTAATATTATTACATGACTTGTTAGCTGTGTTACTTAAGTTGAAAAAATGCCACTTTTTAAATCTCCTAGAAAACCTATTATTAATGGCAATACTAAACTTGTTAATAACGTTAAAGAACTTATTAATCGCATTACTCGACTTAAACAAATCTAAAAAAAATGGTTGCTGCCAGAGCTTCGGTGAAAAGTTCTTAGATCACGTGGTTAATGGCATTATGAAAGTTGTTAATATCGTTATATGACTTGTTAATCGTGTTACTTGAGTTGTGAAAATGCTACTTTTGAAATGTTATTTTTTTAAATTTCCTAGAAAACATGTTGTTAATGGCGATACCAAACTTGTTAATAACATCAAAGAACTTATTAATCACGTTACTAGACTTGATAAAAATTCCCAAAACTCTAGTGACTAATCGTCAACTAGCCGTTAGAGCTTTAATGATCGGCAACCCATTAAACTCTGGTAGTGGCTGTCGATGCTAGAGCTCCAGCAACTAGCTGGCTTGTGAAAGTGATTAATGGTTTTTTTTTTTAGGGGAAAAAAGATAATATAGTCATTTTAGCAAATTTAAAAATTTCAATTTGGCACGCTACTCCTAAACTGAAATTTTGTTTATTGAGGTGGCCGTTTGAGAATTTTTAAATTCAACAGTAATTTTTTTGGAAATTTTCCTTTTTATTTTCAGAAAATAATAAAACCAATTATCTAAGAAAACCCCCCTTTTTTTCCCCTGCAAAGGGCAAAAAAAAAAAAAAAAAAAAATAAATAAAATAACAAGGACGGAGGGGCAGTGGACAGCCGCGGACGCATTACGCATGGGGTAAACGGCGAAAAGCTACGCCCGGACTGCGAGGGGTTAACGTGGGAGACTTTCGTCATCGTCGTTCTCCGTTGTTCCTTCTCTGTCTTCAGCCTTTTTGCGGTGGCCTCTATCGTTGTCCGTAGTCGGGGGTTGCTTAATTGCTCCGTCGTGGTTTTCTGGTCTCTAGTCCTCTTTTAATTCGTGGCTCCATTGATACTATTCTTCTCACAATCTCTCTCTCTGTTTTTTTGTTTTGTTTTAAATTGTATAGTATTTCTGTTTAATCCGTTTCTTTTTAGTCTTTGATTTTCATCTAAAATATGTTTGTTTTGCTGCTGCTCGCTGCTCTTGTTCTTTCTAGCGGTACTCCTCTTGTTTTTCATCTGAACGATAATTCATCATTCTTGAATCCTATTATGCATGATTTCCGATTAATGCTCTGCTAGCTGAAATATCTCTTGTGAATGACTATGAATTTTGTGAATATTAGGTGCTGGTAATGCTAATGTGAAAGCCTGAAAGATTCTAAATGAGTAGGGATTTCTGATTCAAGTTTATGCTCCATTTGGTTCTGCATAGTGGTTCTTTCTGATTCTTGGAAGCTCATTGGATGATAAATTTGCCTATTTGGTGCTGCTAATTCTAATATGAAGAATGCGCTGTGTCTTTGTTGTTTGACTATATATATTTGATATTCTCTGGCCCTCTCTGACCTTCTCACTGCTATACAGAGGTAGCATAAATATGCAATTGGGCCTCGTTGGTTGTAACTGCTAGAGTACATATACTGCATGTGTGTGCAGTAATTATGTCATTGTGTGTGATAATGGTGTATCTATGTGCATACTATGTGCATTCTTATACTTTGTGTAGAAGATGTTGAATCACGAATGTTAAGAATAAACTAATCAGAAAAATGATAAAGAGGATGAGGCTAATATTTTGTTAGAATGACGGACTTATATTGATATAGAAATATGAAAATTGATATTTTAAGATAGGTTCTCCTGGTGAATAGAAAGATCTTTCTGAAGCTTTTGGAGAATTCTTTGTGCAGCTAGATTTTTATATCAAGCCATGTCAGTCCTGATTACATCTCTCATGCATATTTGCGGTTAATGTATGTACTGTTTTGAGTTAATGTTCCATGATTTTGTAGGAAATAGTTGTGCTTTTGTATATTTTTTCCTCTTCATTCCTGAAAGTGAGGCTGCCGCTTTGTTGAGTTGTGTTTTCGAAATGGAGTATGTTGGATTTTATATTGCCCGTCTGTGTCCTGTTTGCACATCCCTTCCCTTATAATTGGAGCTCCTTGATTTTTTCCCCTTTTCTTTGTTCTTCAAATTAGAAACTTGGGACGTGAGTTATTTGATTAGCACTGTAACTGTTGAATGGCATGTCCCATGTTATTTATTATTTACTTATTATTCTGTTTATTAGTATTTTATCTCTTTAGTTTATCCTTATCAAGTCAGATTTGTTTTTAATTTATTTTATTTTATCCTTTAAGGGATTTAGATAGATTTTAACCTAGTTATCTTTGTTGGGGGCATTCTTGTGGCCTCAATTATGTCTATATAAACACTAGATATTCTTTAATAAAATCATGGGACTAAGAATTATTAACTCAGCCGCTTTTCATGATTAAGTGTACTCTATTTGCATAGAAAGGCGTTGACTGGATGGATAAGTAGTGAAATTAATCCTTTATTTTGTAGAACGTCCTAGCCTAGGCAAGGAGTGGTGGATGCTTGATCAAGTGAGCGACTAATGAGGACTTCATTTCTTGTAAAGTGGTCTTATGTTTTGCTTACTTCCAAACAATGAAGGGCTGGGTCATCAACAATAGGGGATAAAGGGTATTTTCATGATTGGTGACCTGCAGTTTTGGGTATGACATTCAACCAAACCAGTTTAGTTAATTGGTTTTTAGCAATTGATATTTCTTTTTGGCCCTTTTTCTTTGACTGTTATTATTTCCATCATTAATGCAATACGAACTTGGATATATTTTTATGGAAAAAAAAGAAGTACAACGAAAGAAGAAAACATCATGGAAAAAGTGATTTCTTCTTCTTCTTCTTTTCTTGGTTTTTGGTCAGGATTTCTTCAAACGTAAGGGAACAAATTGGTGTCCATTCTTTTCATATACTGAGAAATTCAGCATAAAAGCACTTGGCACCTACTAGGAAAGTGAGTTGATAGTTCCAAAGAAGGAGCTCTAGAGGATGATGTTCAGTTTGATAATATTTAGGGGTTAAGGTGCAATTTTAACAATAAAGTTTTCTGTTAAGAGCATCTAGCACCATTAAGTTTTGAAGGGTGCAAAATTATACACAATCTTTATAAAACAGGGCAATTTTACCATTCCGTTAACTGTGTTAAACGTCTGTCACCTTTTAGTTCAGTGAGTTCCACATTTGTGCACATTTCCTTTGCTTTTCCCTTCCCTTTTCCTTTGTCTCACCCTTCTCTCTCTCTCTCTTTCTTCGCTCGTCTGACATACTTATTCTTCTTATTCTCCATCTTTCTCTCTCCTCTCTTCACCTCATTTAAATTCTATTCTCCCTCCTGACTTTCTTATCAAATAATAACAGGTGCCAAGCAGTCAAAACAAATCCCAACCATAAAAATTTTTAATGGCCTTCCTCACACCAAATACAAAACAGAGGACTCTCTTTCACAGAAGGAAATTTCTTTCAATAAAGAACACAGTTTAGGTCCTTTTCGACTCACCTGGCACGTCTTTTGCAACTTGGAGCTTGATGAATAAAGCTAAATAATTCAAGAATTATGGCAGTCCAAGCAGATTAATTCCAAACAATTGGAGGCCTAACCATCTTTATAAAAACTATCCTTTGATGATTCTTTCCAACTACATCAACCAAGCTTATTACCTTGATTTTTCTCCCTCGTCTCGTCAAACAAGCTCAACAGAATGTGGTCGGCCACCTTCCAACTCGTTAGACCACATAACATCTTGTTTCCTTGCGTTGCCTCCTTTGTTCGCAAAGTCGATGGCCTCCAGTGTCGATGCCTCTATCTCCTTTTCAGATGCATCAAATACAATAGTGCACACTCTCCCCCCTTAAGCTTCTCATGGAGAACAGTCATTTGGTTCTTGAATTCTAAGTTGCTGTTGCTAGAGGAAGAGGAGATGAACTTGAAAAGGGGAGAGAGATAGAGAATTGAGTCTGATTTGTTGGGGGGAGGAATTGACATAAAGAGAAGGAGGAGAGATAAAATTTAAGAGGGTGATGTGTAATGTTTTTAGTGAAAGGATTATGCTGAGCCATACAGATAGACACATAGCTGGACCCACCTTAGAAAAAGAAACGGCCGTCTAGACCTATTAACAGAAGCGATGAAATTGCTCTGTATTTTAAAGTTTGTGTATAATTTTGCACCTTTCAAAACTTAATGGTGCCAAATGCTCTTAGCAAAAAACATTATTGTTAAAATTGCACCTTAACCCTAACATTTAACACTATAACTTTTGAACTTTTCCTGTCTCAAAGAAAATTTACTTATTCTTATTGAGGAAATAGTTCCATTCATTGTAACTTCTAAGCAGTGCAATATGTTACATCAATATATTTTATATTTTTGTTTTGGTGGTTTTTTTCCGTAAAGGGAGATATAAATTATTGATGTAACAGTTTATTTTATTATGCCTCCTCTCCTGCCTTCCCTCCCTTGGGAAGCACATACACTTGCAACCACAAAAACTTGATGGTATGCTCTAAAGTTTAGACGGTAGAATTTGAACATTATTCAATCTTGCTTTCAGTGATTTAGGTAGATTTGTTGGAAAGCAGTCCTTGGAAAGGATGATTTCATGTGAACTTTGAACATGCTCTGATTTCATAGTCCTGCTCAGTTCAAGTAATGTTCTTTTGTGTGCACCTTAAATTCTGCTGAAATATTAGCTGACAAATTTGTTTTTTCTGTCCTTCTTGACCTTTGAGTTGATTTTCCTTAGGGATTTCTTCTATTTCTTCATGATTATGACATCTGGAAATTTTGTAACCCAGAGTTAGCCTGTGAAGAAAATCAATGATACTTCAAGGATGCTATGTGAGGAAAACAATAAGAAAACAAAAGGAAGGGCATGAGAGTTTAGACTATGATCTGAAATGAAGGGACGAGGTCAAAATTTCACGTCATTCACAAATTTATTTGCATTGCTCAGCGTAACTTCCAATAATGCCTGTATACAGTCATACTTTTCTTTTGCTCATTAAGTCACACAAGTTCTCTACCTCAACACATGGTGGAAAACTGACCAAGAGAGCGTGCATTGGCCTTCTCAAAGCTTGCAAATCAATGTTCCACCTCAAGCAAATCCAGGCTCAGATGTTTCTTGCGGGTCTACATGAAGACTTGGACACCCTCGGCAAACTTATGGTCATCTGTACTGACTCATCTGTTGGGGACTTACACTATGCATGTAGAACCTTTAACTACCTTCACAAGCCATCCTTGTTTATATACAATCTTATGACCAAAGCCTTTGTGGAAAAGAGTAGTTTCAGAGAAGCCATTTCCTTATTTAGTCAACTGAGAAAAGATGGTTTATGGCCAGATAATTATACATATCCATTTGTCCTCAAGGCTATTGGTTGTATTGGACAGTTTAATGAAGCTGTGAAGGTTCATGGCTTCATAGAGAAGACCGGGCTTGAGCTTGATACTTATGTTTGTAACTCACTAATGAGAATGTATGCAGAATTGGGTAAAGTAGACAGTTTTGAAAAGTTATTTGAAAATATGTCAGAGAAAGATAAGGTTTCTTGGAATATCATGATTACAAGTTGTGTAAAGTGTAGGAGATTCAAAGATGCCATTACTATTTTTCAGCGGATGCTAGAAGAAAGTGTTAGAAGCCGTGATCCTCTCCCCCATCTTCTCCCTTGATTTATTCTATTAGTTACCTAGAATATATCCCTGATTTCTTGTGATATTGCATTATTGTTGATTGCTTGTAATCTCTTTGCATTATTATTATTGATTGTAACCGGATTGCACTCTCCCATCCGGACTCTATATATTGTACTCAGATCATATGGAATAAGATAATGAGTGAATTTACATACTCCACAAATATGGTATCAGAGCTCTGGGTTCGGTCTGAACCCAGAAAAGCTTCGTAAACGTTTGTTGTGAGCCAGAGAGAGAGAGACAGCGCGGGGAGAGAGAGAGAGAGAGTGAGGCGTCCTCAAACTGATGCAAGGAGAGCTGCGTGGACGACACCACCCCTCCAGTCCTCACCGGCGTCCCTTGATCGGCCAGTCCCCGGAAACCGACGTCGAACGGAGCTGCGCGTGACTCTCACGAGCCGACACAAGCACTGTGCGTGAAGCCCACGCGCCGCCACGCCCCTGTCACTGTTCCAGCGCGTGAAGCCCACGCGCCGCCGTCAGAGATCTCCAGTATCTTCCAGAGACCCAGAAAATGGATGATCTAGAATTTCCACCACTTTTTGGATCTGTTCGCAATATTCCAAGGGCCCTCATGTCCGGTACATCTTCTAATACTCAAGCTAGTCCTTCTAAAAACTCCACTGCAGAATCAGACTTGACAATGGCTACTGAACCTCAAGCTATGGGGGTATCTCACAAACTTAATGGTAGCAACTATCTCCAATGGTCTCAAAGTGTCTTAATGTATCTGCGTGGGAAGCGTAAGGAGAAGTACATCAATGGAGAAGCACAACAACCTTCACATAATGACCCCAAATTTGACACCTGGTTCGCTGAAAATAATCAGGTGATGTCTTGGTTGTGCAATTCAATGACCCTCGAAATCAGTGAAGGATACCTTCTTGCAAGCACAGCCAAGGAAATCTGGGATGCTGCTAAGCGGACCTACTCTACCCTCGACAACATTGCAGCCTTATTAGATCTCAAGAGGCAACTCAAAGATCTGAAGCAAGGCAACTTAGCTGTAACCCAATACTACAGTACTCTGACAAAGATATGGCAGCAATTGGATCTCTTTGAAGTACATCCTTGGAAGGATATAGATGATGCTAATTACTACAGACAGTTGGTGGACAAGGGACGAACATATGAATTTTTGTTGGGCTTGAATGATGTGTTTGAAGAAGTGAGGGGGAGAATTATGGGACTGAAACCTCTGCCATCCCTATTTGAAGTCTTCAGTATGGTTAAGTTCGAAGAAAGCCGAAGACACCTCACCCAAGGTAATCTGACCCCAGCAGAGGGCTCGGCATTGGTGACAAGAGGGTTCCAGACATCAGAGGGGCCTGAGAAGAGAGGGAACAAGTGGTGCAATCATTGTAACAAGAGAGGGCACACCAGAGATGAATGTTGGAAACTACATGGAAAACCAACCCAAGGGAAGCAGAAACGAGAAGATAGAAAGAGCCACCACACCTCATCTGAAGAAAGAGGTGACGATGGAGACCAGTTGACCAGAGAAGAGCTTCAAATGCTTCGTAAGATACTTGAAAAACAAAACAAGTCAAAATCTGTTCCCAACGTGAACTTGATACAGTCAGGTAACTCCATTATAGCCCTTAATGCAATGGTAACTAGTGATGAGACTTGGATTATTGACTCCGGTGCTACCGATCACATGACTGGTAATAAGTCCTTCAAATCCCTCAAATATTGCCATGAGAACCTTAGGGTAAAAGTAGCAACTGGACTATATACGAAAGTTGAGGGTGTTGGCATTGTGGCCCTATCTGAAGATCTGGAAATCCATAATGTTTTGTTTGTCCCTGCTCTTACTTGTAATCTTATTTCTGTGAGCAAATTAACTAAAGGACACGTATGTCGGGTGATCTTTGATGATGTTAAATGTGTTTTTCAGGATTCGACCTCGGGGAGGAAGATTTTGACTGCTAAAGAATGGGATGGACTCTACTACTTTGAAGGAAAGGATATGAAGATAGCAGGAGCAAAGAAAGCTATGGTTAGCTCCAATTCTCAGAATAAAAATGTAATGTTGTGGCATCTAAGATTAGGCCACCCCAGCTTTGATTATATGAAGCATGTGTTTCCAACTTTATTCAATAAAAATTCTTCTCCTTTCCAATGCGAAACGTGCCAAATTGCAAAACAAACTCACGCCTCTTATCCCAAGCATACTTACAAACCTACTGCCCCGTTCACAATGATCCATACCGACATTTGGGGACCTGCCAAAACCAAAACCCGAACAGGCACAAGGTGGTTTATCACATTCATAGATGATCACACCCGGGTCACATGGGTTTACCTTATGAAAGAGAAATCCGAAGCCTTACAAATTTTCAAAAACTTTTGCTCGTTTGTGAGAACCCAATTCCAAACTCCCATCAAAGTTTTGAGAAGTGACAATGCCAAAGAATACGTGAGTGGAGCCTTTAGGGAATTTCTTGAGCAGGAAGGAATCCATCACCAAACCTCATGTGTCTATACCCCCCAACAAAACGGAATTGCTGAGCGAAAGAATAGACATCTTTTGGAAGTAACTCGAGCTATTATGATGGAAAGAAACATTCCGAATTTGTTTTGGGGAGATGCTGTACTGACCGCAGCCTACCTTATCAATCGCATGGCCTCCAAAATCCTCCATTTCAGTACCCCTATTCAGAAATTCCTCGAGACTTACCCCACCTCACCTATCATCAATTCCATTCCCCAAAAGATCTTTGGGTGTGTTGTCTTTGTTCATAAACATGATGGAGCCAAACTAGGTGTTAGAGCAGAAAAATGCATTTTCCTCGGGTATTCCTCCACCCAAAAAGGGTACAAGTGTTATAGTCCTACTACCAGAAAACTTATCATCTCCAAAGATACCGTCTTTTACGAGGATGACGCTTACTACCCCAAATTACCCATTCAGGGGGAGCACTGTGGAGTAGAATGGCTAATTACACCTGAACCTATAACCACCTCCAACCTACCTCTTAACTCCCTTGAACCTTCCACACCTCAAGAAGAAATCCCCGAACCGGGATCACAAATCCCTAGTCCTACAACTTCTCCAAAACACCAAAACACCACAAACACTCCTCACCCAATGGAAACCAATGCTGAAATCCCCGAACCGGGATCACAAATCCCTAGTCCTACAACTTCTCCAAAACACCAAAACACCACAAACACTCCTCACCCAATGGAAACCAATGCTGAAATTGATGCAGGGGTGACAGAGCACTCAAGTTCTCAATCAGGTAGTAGGGTTCCTTCCATTCCAAGGCAGCAACATGATTCCAATCCGGAGTTGGATCCTGAAGAGCTAGGATGGCCTATTGCACTCAGAAAGGGGGTAAGATCATGTACTAAGCATCCTATTCAAAAATTTGTCTCCTATGGCAATTTATCTGCGCGAATGCAAACCTTTGTAGTGAATAGTTCACAGGTGAAGATTCCAGAAACATTTCAACAGGCTATGACAGATCCTAATTGGAAACATGCTGCATATGAGGAGTTAAGAGCCTTGAAGGAAAACAACACGTGGGATATTACCACACTTCCTAAGGGCAAGAAAGCAGTGGGCTGTAGGTGGATCTTCACCCCTAAATTCAATCCTGATGGAAGCATCAACAAGTACAAAGGAAGATTAGTAGCTAAAGGGTACACTCAAACCTATGGGATTGATTATCAAGAAACGTTTGCTCCTGTGGCAAAATTCAACACCATCCAGGTACTCCTATCCCTTGCTGCTAACCTTGACTGGTCTCTACATCAGCTAGACGTGAAGAATGCTTTCCTAAATGGAGATTTGGAGGAGGAAGTATACATGGAAATTCCAGATGGAGTAATAGCTCCACCCAACTCAATTTGCAAATTGAAGAAATCATTGTATGGCTTGAAACAGTCTCCACGAGCTTGGTTCGACAGGTTTGCCAAAGCAATCAAAAGGTTTGGTTACATTCAAGGACAGGCTGATCACACTCTTTTCGTCAAACACAGTGATGGAAAGGTAACGATCCTAATTGTGTATGTGGATGATATAGTCATAACTGGCAATGATGAGGTTTCTATCTCCCATCTCAAGAAAGCCCTGGCTAGGGAATTCCAAGTGAAGGACCTAGGACAAATGAAGTACTTTCTCGGAATGGAAGTTGCTAGATCCAAAAAGGGTATAAGTGTGTCTCAACGAAAGTACACACTTGACTTACTCCACGAAACAGGAATACTTGGGGCTAAGCCTAGTGAGACTCCTATGGAAGAGTCATGCAATCTGGAAGTGAAACCAGACGGGACACCAGTTAACTCAGAAAGGTACAGAAGACTTGTGGGTAAGCTAATCTACTTGACTCATACAAGGCCTGACATTAGCTATGCAGTTGGAGTGGTAAGCCAATTTATGCATCAACCCCAGGAAGAACACATGGAAGCAGTATACAGAATCCTCACCTACCTCAAACTCAATCCTGGAAGAGGAATATTCTTTCGAAAGGGGAATACAAGGAGTATAGAGGTCTACACTGATGCAGATCATGGGAGAGCTGTGGACAACAGGAGATTCGTCACAGGATACTGCACTTATGTTTGGGGAAACCTAGTCACTTGGCGAAGCAAGAAACAAACAGTAGTCTCAAGGAGCAGTGCTGAAGCTGAGCTAAGAGCTGTAGCCCTCGGGGTATGTGAAGGAATGTGGGTGATTAGACTCCTGAAGGAATTGAGAATTTCCTATGAAGGACCTATGAGTCTCTGGTGTGATAATCAAGCCAGCATTGAAATGACCAAAAATCCTGTGTATCACGACCGAACAAAACATGTTGACATTGATCGGCACTTCATCAAAGAAAAGGTCGAAGATGGCACCATTAACTTGAACTATGTGCGTTCAACTGATCAGATTGCTGACATCATGACCAAGCCGTTAGCCAGAGTCAAGTTTGAAGGGCTTCGGAGCAAGCTGGGAATGGTTGACATTTACTCTCCAGCTTGAGGGGGAGTGTTAGAAGCCGTGATCCTCTCCCCCATCTTCTCCCTTGATTTATTCTATTAGTTACCTAGAATATATCCCTGATTTCTTGTGATATTGCATTATTGTTGATTGCTTGTAATCTCTTTGCATTATTATTATTGATTGTAACCGGATTGCACTCTCCCATCCGGACTCTATATATTGTACTCAGATCATATGGAATAAGATAATGAGTGAATTTACATACTCCACAAATAGAAAGCAATGAGAAGCCTGATGAAGCCACGGTGGTAAGCACTCTATCAGCCTGTACAGCATTAAAAGATTTGGACCTTGGTAAGGAAATTCACAGTTATGTCTTGAGTGAATTCCTTTTAACAACTATAGTTGGCAATGCATTAGTGGACATGTACTGCAAGTGTGGTTGCGTAAGTATAGCTCAGGAAATTTTTGATGAGGTGCCTATGAAAAATGTGATTTGTTGGACAAGTATGATAAATGGGTATGTGACTTGTGGTCAGCTGGATGAAGCTCGAAATTTGTTTGAGAAAAGTCCAACGAGGGATATTGTTCTTTGGACAACTATGATTAATGGGTATGTGCAATTCAATCGCTTTGATGAGGCAGTTGCATTATTTCAAGAGATGCAAATGAGAAGAATCAAACCAGATAAATTTGTTGTTGTTACTCTCCTTACAGGTTGTGCTCAGTTGGGAGCCCTGGAGCAAGGGAAATGGATTCATGGTTACATAGACGGGAACAAAGTGACATTGGATGCCGTGGTTGGTACTGCTCTCATTGAAATGTATGCAAAATGTGGTTGCATAGAGAAATCTTTGGAGATTTTCTATAGGTTAAGGGAAAGAGATACAGCCACATGGACTTCTATTATCTGTGGTCTTGCATTGAATGGTAAGACAAGCAAAGCCCTTGAGCTCTTTCAAGAAATGAAAAAATTTCGGGCTAGGCCTGATCACATCACCTTTATTGGTGTTCTAAGTGCTTGCAGTCATGGGGGATTGGTAGAAGAAGGGCGTAAGATCTTTTATTCCATGAAGAGAACATATCAAATTGAGCCCAAGGTGCAACACTATGGGTGTTTCATTGATCTTCTTGGTCGAGCTGGATTGCTACATGAAGCAGAAGAGCTAATTAAGAAGTTGCCAGATCAAAAAAATGAGATGATAATTCCACTTTATGGATCTCTGCTGAGTGCCTGCAGATTTTATGGCAATATTGAAATGGGCGAAAGGATTGCTCAACGACTGGGAAATATTGAATATAGTGATTCCAGTTTGCATACGCTTTTGGCTAACATTTATGCTTCTGCTGACAGATGGGAAGATGTGAGCAAGGTCAGAAACAAGATGAAAGACTTGGGAATCAGGAAATTTCCTGGATGTAGTGCTATTGAGGTGAATGGCATTCTCCATGAGTTTCTTGTTGGCGACCCATCTCACCTTGAAATAGGTCACCCTGAAATAAGAGACACATATTCCATGCTGGATGCAATAACTAAACCCTTGTTTGGTTCAGAAGTAAATGAGATGGAAACAGAAATTTTATGTCTAATGAATTCTTAACTGCGAAATTGTGGTTGAGGAATATCAGTTTCCTGTCGAACTAAGGATCAGGTCTAAGAGATTGAAAATGTTTCTTGCCATTTTTTATGGTACAGCCAACCTGCCACAAGCATGGAACCAATTTAAAAATCCTCTCTGGGAGGATGCATGAAGTGTTGAAGAATGAAGTCTTGGATAAAAGTTTAAATCCTATTTGTGGATGAGTTTTGGACTGAATATTTTTTGTACTGATTTGTTGTTAGATTAATCTTCAAAACTTATTGAAAAGACTCTTCTTTCAAACATTGATAAGCATATTCTAAATCTAGCAATCCGTGCCAGTCATGATGGAGGAGAGCCCAAATATAAGCTTCATCTCAAACTTTTTCCTTAGAAGATCTTCCTGGCTCCCCTGTAGCAAGATAATTCTATCATCTAAGAGGCCTGCTTTAGGGATCCTTGGAGCGTTAACCAGATGCCTCAGATTCCTTACTGATACATAATGAGAGCCAGATGTTCTCAAGTGAGTCTTTCCTCTCTTAGCTTTTACTTCTACTTAAATTTGTTTCTTTAGAGGACGAAATGATAACACATAGATCTTAACCTATATGATGTTTCAATTGGTTTGATTTCCTTGAAACCATATTAGCCAATTTCGTTTTCATTTTCAATTGTTTACGCAGCGATGTATTGATGTATATAACTTGATTAGTTGTATGAATCGCTGATTGATTGATCTCTCTGCTCATTCCCTCCCTATCTTTTTGCACAATATAATACTATTCAATTCTAACCGTTTTAACTGTGATATTATATCTTTCTTGATCTGATATTTCAATTAGTTTTGATTCTTTGAATCCACATGCAGTTCTAACTATTTAGGCAGTAACATTTTAGTTCTCAGTCATTTGTATGAATTGCTTGCTCTTCCCCCGTTATCTTCTGCAAAACATATTATTCAACCCCCGTTATCTTCTGCAAAACATATTATTCAATTAATTTTGTTTAGACTGCGATATTATATTGTTCAATATCTGATGTTTCAATTTGTTTAAGCCAAATTTAGTCTCCAGTTCCAAGTTTAACCAATTTCATCACATGTAGACTAGACCAATCAATCAACCTATAATAATAAATCAAAATCAATGATCAGCCGGTTCATTTTCAGATCCATGTCGGCTCCTCACTCAAAATACTGTTCTATGAACAGTAACAGCTTATAAACAGTGCCAGCTCCCGGCATCACTGTTTTTTTTTTTTAGAAGGATGTTCTCATCTGTCATTTTCTTAGCCTACTACACCTACTCCCCTGTTCAAATTCAAAATTGAAGCTCTATTAATTTGTTTCCTTTTCCCCTCATTTTCTTCTTCTCTTCACCAATGCCGGTGAGGGACCCCCAGGGGGAGAATCTTCTAGAAGCTTCAAGCAGTTTCTCCTTTGCTCAAGTTGTTGCTCCTCTCGTGAAGGGAGAATTTTTTTTTCCTCCCCCATATATGATGCTCTGCTCTCACCCTTTGTATTTGTAATCTCTCCTTGTCTCATCTGTTTTTCTCTTTCTTTTTCATTTCTTCTCTTTGTTGGCCGAGAGATCAACTAGAGGGGTCTTCAACTTCATCTCCATTTTGGTTGATTGATTTCTGACCTACAACTTCACTACTTTGGCTTTAAAGGTGGGATTTCTCCATGGTCTTTTCTTATCATGAGCATTTTTTTTCCCTTCCATTTCTTTCGTGCTCATTCTACTTTATTCTTCTTCATCCTATACTTCCCACCATTTTGTCTATTTATGCTTCATGATTCTCATCGGGTATGATTTTTGGAACCCTCAAGCCGTTGATTTCAACAAAACAATTTTAAGGAAGGAAAAGAAAAAAGCAACAATACTTGAATGGTTCATTAAAATGCTGTGTGCGATGCATATATGGTGTGAAGGAAGTTTGAAAAATGCAAGTAAATAAATTGGAATGACAAGCAATCATTTGCATTAACTTTTGCAAATTTTTCATTTCATTCATCATTCTCCATAATTCATAGAACAGTATTTTGATTCTCATATGAAAATGAGCTGACTGGTCATGGATCTACATTAATTATGGCATTGCTTGTTGTTTTGTTTTTCTTTTTTTTCCTCTCAAAATTTAAGTTTTAATTATATCAGAACCTTCCTTCACGTGGAATTAAACTTCAACAAAATAGCAAAAAAGAGGACCATGATCGTGGAAGTACACTGGATTTGAGAGCCATTTTCATTCACAAGCATGGAGGTACATTGAAACACACATTGAAACACAATTTTCAATATATTATCATTCATTGGGGAATGAGAGTGGCTGAGCATTGCTAATAGGTTGGTAGTTGAATTAGCCTTTTCTCCAAGAACTTTAGAGACGGAGAATCTTTTATACGCTATTATGATCAGCTTTTTGGTCATTTCTCTTCATGTTTTGAGGAGATAGTAGCTGTTTTGTTTCTTGATTATCTAATATATATATTTATGATATTATCCAGTTCCTTATTTCATGTTTATATATGTTTGCAGCTAGACTGGAGATTTACAATTGATATGCAGTTACATCAACGATCACTAAAATTTAACAGCAAAAGGATCCTCTATTTTGGGTGAGATCTTGGCTTGCCAACACATTCCAACTCTATCAAAGCTATGGTGGTCCATAAATTCATAATTGTGATGGTTATGTTTCAAATGATGTGGAGGCATTAGTAGGTTTAGATATTAGTCCGCAAATTCAATAAAATGTGGTGGCGTTTTCCTTTTTTTCTAAAAAAATTATTTATGGAGACTAATCGAATTTTCAGGGGTTTCATATGTATACTTTTTTTAATGTATTTGTGGGACAAGTTTTGATCAATAGAGATGTGTAAATAATTCTCTCATTTCAATTTATTTTGGTCAAGCAATTTTTGCTATCAAATGTGATAACCACATTTTATATATATTATACTTTGCGTCCCCAATGCATGATGTTCTTTCTACATTCTACATTTTCTCAATGATATGATTATCATTGTTTCAATGTCTTGCTTAGTTTTTCAATAAACTAATCTAAGTTCAGTAAAAGGTGTCAAGTTTTTTTTTTTTTTTTCAAACTATGACTTCTTTAAACAGGCACACAAGTGTGTATGTAAAGTTGATGGGAAAGTAGTTTTTAGTGTGAAGTTGATTTTAGTTATGTCAATACGCTACCATTAAATTTTTTGTGCTTAGGCTGAGCATTAAATTTTTTCAGCCATCTAATGGAAGATTTTAGTCACAAAATAACTATTGTAATTATAACTTGGTCTCGAGATGGTTGATGAACAATGTATGGACCCTGTTCATTAAAATTTAGTCACGTTTTTGGGATCATGAAGGTGCAGGAGGCGTGTGAGAAAGGCATATGTCATAGCAGTCAGCAATCTTTATCTAAAGCATTATTTATTTAAGTCAGTATTCAGCCCCTTTTTTCCACTTTATTGAAAGTGTCAAATTGTGTCCTATGTCAGAATTTTAGAAAATAAGTTGACCTTGCTTGCTATGTGAAATGAAGGAAGGTAGGTTGCTTGTATTCTTTATATTTGTTTAAGTTTCAGCAAAAGGTGGAAAAAGCTGATTGTGGTTGCAGGATAAGTTATTATTGCAGTTGCGGGATAAGTTATGTTTCAGAAGCACATGTGTGCAATTATTATAGCCGGAAAAAATTAGATGTGATCTGTCTTAGGATTTGAAGCGCATTTTGCTGCCATACGCATTTAACAAATTATATTTGAAGACATTGTGTTTATTGAATTTGAAGAAGACGAGACAGGGGAGACAATTCTTCCGTATGTTTTATTCAATCTGAACATCAACATATATACAACAAACCGAATCTGGACCCATCAATGGTGAGGCTGAGAATCATGCAATTACAATCAGGAAATCATTTATAGTTTAAATTCTATGCTATTTACAATTAATTCCTAGAGATCTGCCTAACATATCGGGGTTCCTATTATATCGGGATTTCTACACTCCCCCTCAAGTTGGATCATAAATATTGAACATGTCCAACTTGCCAATGAAGTATTCAAATTTGTCTTTAGTCAATCCTTTTGTAAGAACATTTGCAGTCTGCTCTCTGGAGGGTATGTTTTCTAATCGGATCACCCCATTATCAATCTTTTCTCTTATGAAGTGCCTATCTATCTCCACATGCTTGGTTCTGTCATGTTGAACCGGGTTATGAGAAATATTGATTGCTGCCATACTGTCTGAATATAGTGTTATAGGTAGACTCATGCTCATTTTGAGTTCTTTGAGTACTCGCTTCAACCATATGCCTTCACATATCCCAAGTGCAATAGCTCTAAACTCAGCTTCTGCACTGCTTCTAGCCATCACACTTTGTTTCTTACTTCTCCATGTGACAAGATTGCCCCACATATAGGTGCAGTACCCTGAGGTGGATCTTCTATCGTCTTGGTCACTTGCCCAATCAGCATCTGTAAACAGTTCTATATTCTTCTTGTTAGATTTTTTAAAAAGGAGGCCCCGGCCAGGAGAGCTCTTCAGATATCTAATCTAATCTAAGTATTCGATAGACTTCATTTAGATGCTTCAATTTAGGGTCATGGGAGTGTTGGCTGACCATACTAACTGCAAAGGCTATGTCAGGTCGAGTGTGTGAAAGATAAATGAGTTTTCCCACCATTTGTTGATATCTCCCTGTATCTACTGCCTTTCCCAAGTCATTCTCGTCACTTATCTTGTCCACCCTTATGGGGGTATCACTTGGTCTACACCCCATCATGCCTGTCTCTTTTAAGAGATCTAGAATGTACTTCCTCTGTGAAATATAAATTCCCTTTCTTGACCTGGAAACTTCCATTCCAAGGAAGTATTTCATTTTCCCTAGATCCTTGATTTGAAACTCTCGGGCCAGTGCTTTCTTGATTTGATCAATTTCTGTTAGATCATCTCCTGTAAGGACAATTTCATCCACATACACAGCTAGAACTGCTATCTTTTTATTCTGACGTTTGAAGAATAGAGTGTGATCACTTTGCCCTTGGGTATACCCTTGTCTCTTTAGGACTCGAGTGAATCGTTCAAACCAGGAGGCATCTTCATATACACTTCCTCTTTCAGTTCTCCATTGAGGAATGCATTTTTTACATCTAGTTGGTGCAATGGCCAATCCAGATTTGCAGCTAACGATAGTA